TTCAAAACTGAAAACTGTTGGTCTCTGTCTCATTTCTGTGAAAAGTTATTCGAAAAATATCCGAGACCATCGTATTTTGAAACACATAGTAGTGTGAGTCGGAAGCTTCCGAAACATCTAATGAAATTAATGATGAAAATGATTGAGTTATTATTGCAATTGATTTTTACTTTAAACTGTTCTGTTCATCTACCAGAAGTTGAGTGCTTTTGTTCACCTCTGGTACGTATGAAAAAAAAACCTACTTCACACGGTTCTCCGGTTAACGTTTGTAATCCTTCATCACATCTTCCTGTAGAAAAATAGTTTATTTAGTTCTATAATAAACGAATTTGAGCGTTTTACTCATGTCTAGTTACCAACCGGATTTTAACGCCATATAACTTCCATGCATTTTTGCTAACGCTTTTTCAATTAATGGTGCATACAATTGTTTTTTTCTACTACGTGAGAATACGAGAGAATTTGATTGAGATACGGGTAAGCAATCATCGACGGTAATTACTTGCCAAATGCCCTGATTACACAGCCGTACACGATACATTCCTAAATGAAATAGCACTAAGGTCAGTTATTGAATAAAACGAAGGTAAGAAGGTACATATATACCCTTAGGATTATATTGTTTTGTTATCATTACTTTGTACAATATTTGAGGAATTTCAGCAAGTAGAGAGAGTGCTGCTATCAACCAGCAATTTCCTAGTCTTCCTTGAATAATATCTTTTGGATGTGGCTGATTAAACACGACCAATGGATAGTTTTTATCGACAATCGGCCATCGAATATGCTCTGGGCGAAGCCTATATTACGACATGAAAAAGATAACTATGTCACATAAAAGTCTAAATAACACCTGAAATCAATATTACCATCGTGCAACTCGTCCTTGATACTTTGATTCTACAACATACAGACAAATTAAATTTTGCAAATCTGAAACTATCTTCTCCCGCACTCTCACAGATATACAATTATGCGTACCACCAACTAGCAGAAATTCAGGTTTAATAAAGTTCAATTTCATATCGAGAACAGTATCGGGTCATCATGAGTGAACCTCTCAGTATTTTCTATTTTTCTCGTGTTTCTTTACGACCCTAAGGCTAGTGTTTTCTTTTAATAGATGCGCCGTGAAATACTCTACAAAACTATACCTAAACTTTAATTTCAGAACTTAAATCAAGAGAACTAAGCAAATTATACGAAATTTACAAAGTTTTTATTGAAAGTTGACTCGAACTTTTTTCTTCTGCTATTATTTCCGTAAAAAAGTGAAGCAAATGTGAGAACTGAACTTTTTGTAATTCTGAATCTGCTTTTTNATTGACAAGGTCGCGTTTCCAACAATATACCCAAGCAAGAAATAAAAAACATGATCGAAGTTTTAATTTTGCAATTAGGTAGAGAAGAGCAATCATTTCTGATCAAAACAAACCGGACCGAAAAAGCTTTTCTTTTGATGGAGTTATGTGACTTTTACTGGAAGCACCATTATAGCCAAAATTTAAAAAATAAATGAAAAAATACATGACAACCGACAGAAAAATGGTTATTTCTCCATGGGCTTTGATGTGAAAAAACGTGAAGTGTAGCCAAAAGATAGAGCGAAGTCAGAGCTACAAAGTGGTTGATTCAGATTTTCTTACTTTCAAACCGCCGTTAGCACAAGAAATCGTATTAAACGAAGTTAGCATCGTTGAGTTGATAACGAACATCATGTTATGATTCAAATAGTAGTCGAGTCAAAATTTACGCATTATTTATTTGTCTATTATAACTGTTAATTTTTATTCGATCACCAAGCGATAAGACCATCTTTCGTCCTCCATATTTTTGAAAATAAGTCGTATATTTGAAATCAGCATTGAATTCTATACAAAATAGTCTATTTAGATTTTTGAAAA